GACCCCCGGCCCGCCGACGCCCAGGTAAAGCTCCAACTCGCCGCCAACTCGCTTAAGTTGCGGCAGAGTTCGCCGGGCCCCGCCGCGGGGCTGCGCGGCCCCTGCGGGGACGGGGAGCTGGGGAGGGGGTCCTTCAACCCCGCGTCGGGGTGGGGTGAGGGCTTCAGGCCCGGGGCGCACAGGGATGAGTGGACCCGGACCAGCAAGCCCACCGCCCTAGGGCCCCGAGCTCGCACCCAGCGCCCCGGGCTGGAAGAGCTCAGACGCAGGCTCCAGAACGGCACTGGCTTTCCCGCGCCCTCGGGGCTCCGCCGGGGGCCCCGTCCGGTCACCGAGCCCGGGCCTGGGCCGCCCCGCGGCTCCCCCCAGCCCCCGACCGCAGCTGGAGGCCGTGGCTCCGGCCCTGCTGAATTTTTCACGCAGGGGGCGGGCCGGACACGCCGTTCCCATGGCACCCAGGCGCTCGGGTTACAGCCCGAGGGATCCCCGAGTTCCCCCCCCACGGCTGCCCTTGGGGGGTTAGCTCTCTTGGGATCCGGACGCGGGCCAGAATCCCACCCCCGGGGCGGGGGGAGCCCCGAACCCGCTTCTGCACCCCCTCCAACAATGCAGACCGTGAGAAAGATCTTCCCTAAGGAGGGTCTGGCGCTCTGAACGGGAGGGGCGCGTCTGTGCACACTCGGGGTGCCTCCCTGCCGCCGTGTCACGGGGCAGGGTCATCCTAAGGGCACGCGGCGTGACCTCTGGCTGTGTACTCCGTTTCTGTTCCCAGGCGGCGCAGACACCCCTTTTAGGTGGACCCAGGTTTAGGCTGGGACTGAAGCCGTAATACTGCCACCCCCAAGAAGATGAGGTGTCTACTTCCCATTTGAACAAGAGCGGACGCCAAAGGAAAACAGAGGCGCTCACAAGAAGGAAGGACGGAAGGAAGGAAGGAAGGAAGGAAGGAAGGAAGGAAGGAAGGAAGGAAGGAAGGAAAAGAAGGCCTCTCCCATTAAGGATGACACTAAACACCCAACAGGAAGCAAAGACTCCCCTGCGCAGGAGGGCTAGCACTCCGCTACCCCTGTCATCCAGGGGCAACCAGCCTGGCCGCCTGTGCACAGCAGCCCCTCAATCCCAACATCCCCGGCTGGGCCAGTCAGTGTCCCTCAACCCTCCCAGCCGAAAACCTTCTCCTGCCCCCGATGGCTGGTCGTCTGAATCCAGCGACTCTGAAGGCTCCTGGGAGGCCCTGTACCGTGTGGTGCTGCTCGGAGATCCAGGCGTGGGGAAGACCAGCCTGGCCAGCCTTTTCGCAGGGAAGCAAGAGAGGGACCTCCATGAACAGCTTGGAGGTAGGAACCCTGTGGGACAGGCTGGGATGTGGCTGGAGGACTGAAAGGTATGTCACCAGGGCCAGAGGGCTGCCAGGAACCTTGTATACATTATGCACCGTTCAATTGAAATGGTCATGGCACCGGCTGAGGTGAATGATGTTCACCCAGTAGTGGACAAAACACAACCTTTCTGCACAAGGGTCCAGGACAGGGGAATACTGCATGAGAAGTGTATCTTTCATTTCCATGTCATAGGGAGGAGCAATTCAGAAACTAGGTGTCAAGAAATGGTGGGTTTCCACTCAGCTCAGAAACTCCCAGCCCCAAATCCCTCCTTCCTTGGCTCCTGCCAGTCCCATAGACACCTGAGCATGACCACCATGACTTGTAGCCAAATGGAGATTCCCAGCCACCCTCCTTTCCCCAGATGTGGGCCCTGGGTTCCATTATTTCTAAGAAACGCAGAGAATTCAAAGGGCCAGGGATCCCCCAGAGGATAGGATGGGATGGAAGGAATGAAGATAAACCCTTGCAGGCCTGGCTGAGGGAGGGAGGGAGTGGTTAAAAGCAGAGAGAAGGTAGGGACCTTCTGGCCAGCCTTGACCCTCCTGGGAGTAAGAACCCATAGGTTACAATGGAAAAATGGAGGCCCAGCACAGGTGCCAGAGACAGAGCAGGTCTGGGAGAACCTCCTTCTCCCCATCATCCACAACCCCACACTCATCCAACCAATCAAACCAGCTTTCTCAGAACCACCACAGACCCCATGTTGTGCTGGCAACTGGGGAGATATAGACTCCACCAGGGGTTTCTTGGCCTTCTAGGAAAGTTAGTGGTAGGTTTTCAAATGAGTGTGGCACCCCCAAGCAGCAGTTGAGAAAGTTAGGGAGCCCCATACCTCCGAAAGCCCTGCCAGCCCTGAGGTGTGCTGTCTCCTTGGTTGCAGATGTATATGAGAGAACCCTCACAGTGGACGGAGAGGACACCACACTGGTGGTCATGGACACCTGGGAGGCAGAGAAACTGGTATGACACTACAAGAGTGGGTGACAGGAAGGGGCGGAGCCTCTTACAGGGACACCTGGCCCTCCCTCTGAGGCCAGACAGAGCAAGGTTCAGAGCAAGGGCCATCCTCCACCTCCCTTTCTCCAAACCCAAAGATCTCCTCTCAGGGCTGGGAAGGTGGCTCAGTGGTAGAGTGCTTGCCTTGCATGCATGAGGCCCTGGGTTCGATTCCTCAGCACCACATAAGCAGAAAAAAAGAAGCTGGAAGTGGCGCTGTGGCTCAAGTGGTAGAGTGCTAGCCTTGAGCTGAAGAGCTGAGGGACAGCGCCCAGGCCCAGAGTTCAGGC